TGAGTTTGAACTCTTCTTTGTCGGTGGACATGGTGGGGGAAGAGGGGAGGGGGGAGGGAGGGGGTGGTGGGGGTGGGGGGAGCGGTGAGGTGGTGGCAAGTTGGCGCGCGCGCCCAGCCGTCGGTCGTTGCCGGATCGGGAAACGTGGGAGAGTCAGCAAATAGTTTCGACGCATAGTGAGAAGAAAGATGGATCGGACACAGAGCACAAAGTTTGTTGTTACTCTGCCTTGGTGTGGACGGCAGGGGGGAGAAAGAGGCGATGGCCGCAGCAATGGCGGCGTCGATCTTGGGTGCAAACCAGAGAGCGATGATGGAGGAGTAGCGGCCGGCGACAGCGCCGGTGAAGACGTCCATGGTCCAATGGGCGCGGAGAACGAGGACAGTGAAGACCTCAAGGGTGAAGAAGGCGGCAGCAAGGGCAGAGAGTAGCCACGAGCCGGACGCGTAGCGCTCGCCATTGTTGCCGAGGCGCATCAGCTCCATGGCGCAGAGGGTGGCGATGGCGGTGTGGCCGGAGAAGAAGTAGTCGTTGAGAGAGTGATAGGTGACGAGGAGGGTTGGGAAGCCCGGATCGTACCAGATGACACCCGGCGGAGCCGAGAGAATGCACACCGCCTGCATGGCCTGGCGCATGACAAAGCACATGAGGATGCCAACGAGTGGACGGACCGAGGGACCAAAGATGGAGTAGATGGCAAACGAGACGCCAAAGAAATCGATGGCAGCCGACGACACAATGAGAAGACCATCGCTCAGCCGCTTGTCGGCCCGAATCATGTCGGTGAGCGGCGTGAGGAGATCATGAACACGATCACCGATGAAGAAACCGCCCGCCACCTCTGGGTTGGTCAGCCGAGTAGCGAGAAGATTCTGCGACCAGAACCAGCCAGCAAGCGCAAGTCCCACCACCACCGTCCGCAGCACCGTCCGCATGACAAATCCCAACATGGTGATAACAACGTTGTGGAGTTGGGTGGGTGTATGTAGGTACCGTGGGGTGGAGTCGGCGGTTGGCGAGAAGAGAGCTTGCGAGGCAGCGTGGGCCCAGGCAGCTCAGTCGCAGCTTGCAATGCTGGGTTGTAGAGGACGTAGATCGGGGCGAGTTGAACGATCGAAGGATATACGGAGGGTGCGTGTGCAAAGTGTTGTCATCGGGCGGGGTATATATTGCAGAGGGCGGTGGTGGACGGTGGCGTGGCCCACGCACGACTTTGGCCAGGTCGACCCATCGCCGCCTCCCAGCTGAGGAGCAAGACTCACAACGATGCAAGTTATGCGATACGAGTGTGCGTCTCAAGTGAGAAAGGAACACGTGGAGATGGGGAATGGCGGTCGCTCATATTCGTCGTCGGCGCGCCGAGTTGCCCGATAGCCAGGAGACGAGGGCGGGGCGACCAGGCGGAGTGGAGGTGGCGACCGAGGTAGAGGACATTGTTCTCTCTATATCGTGCTATGGATTGGGGCTTCCCTACGACAGGAGATAGTGCCCCTCCAAGTGGTGGTGGTGGTGGTGGTGGTACCAGTGGATGGCCTGGTGCTGGCACTGGCGGCGCTGGTGGCGCTGGTAGTGCTGGTGGTGGTGCGACTGCGCCTGCGGGTGGAGGGTACGTACACAACCAGTCACCCCCCCCCCCCCCCCCCCCCCCGGTTTGTTACACACACACATGTACATGCACATACACACACGCACACGAATTGCACTCACATGTTGTTGAATGGGTGAAGCGCCTTTACTGAGCGGTCCAAGTACCAGCTGGATGGTCTCTTTGGGGCTGGCGGAGCGGAGGCTGGGGGACAGCCCGCGGCTGGTGGCGGTCTCATGCCATGGGGACAGCAGGCGCAGCAGGCGCAGCAGGCGCAGCAGGCGCAGCAGGCGCAGCAGGCGCAGCCGGCAAACCAAAACGGACTCGCAATGTTTAGTGCAGCGGCTGGAACTGGAGCGGCTGCTGGTGGAGCAAGTGGCGGTTTTGCTGGCTTTGAACCGGCAGCTGGTCTCCCGGCATCACAGCCGGTTCAGGGCGGGGCCAGTGGCTTTGCCAACTTTGCGGTGTTTGGCGGAGATCAGCAAGCTCAGCTCGGCGGAGGGCAGCAGGCTCGGCCGGGTAGCGGGCAGCAAGCAGCAGGTTTTGAGGCTGTGTTTGGCAGCGCGAGCGCGGCACAGCCTGATCAGGGCGGCTTTGGTGCCACGTTTGGCACCAGCCAGCCGCCTGCTACCCATGGCGGATTTGCTGCCTTTGGCGGAGCCCCGGCGGAGACTGTGGCTCCGGCCCAAGCTGCGGCTCCAGCCCAGGACAAGTACGCTGTGTTCGCCGCGGCCTCGGGCCCAGGCTCCGGCATCGCCACCCAGGCCGCTGCGTTTCCAGCATTCGACGAAGCGGCAGCCGCACCCGCATCACTGGCCAATGACACACCAGCCCCGGTGGAGACTGCGGCTCCGGCCCAAGCTGCGGCTCCAGCCCAGGACAAGTACGCTGTGTTCGCCGTGGCCTCGGGCCCAGGCTCCGGCATCGCCACCCAGGCTGCTGCGTTCCCAGCATTCGACGAAGCGGCAGCCGCGCCTGCGCAGTCGAACAACGCGTTTGCAACGTTTGGGGCACCAGCCAGCGAGCCGTTTGCAGTCTTTGGCTCCAGCGAGGCAAAGCCCGGCCCCAGCCCTAATCCGAGCCCGAGCCCGAGCCCAGGCTCTGTATTTCCAGTGTTTGGCGAGCCGACTACGGGTGGTGATCTGCTTGCCAAGTCGAAGCTGGCGGCAGGCGCGGCAGCCGAGCCGAACCCCGCGCCGGCGGCAGCATCCGGCGCGTCCAAGCCAGCGGTCGCGCCGGCAGGCTTTGACACCTTTGGCACGCCGGCTGCAACCAACAACACCGACTTGTTTGCCGGCATGAGTGCACCGGCATCGAACGCATCCGACGCGTCCAAGCCAGCGGTCGCGCCGGCAGGCTTTGACACCTTTGGCACGCCGGCTGCAACCAACAACACCGACTTGTTTGCCGGCATGAGTGCACCGGCATCGAACGCATCCGACGCGTCCAAGCCAGCGGTCGCGCCGGCAGGCTTTGACACCTTTGGCACGCCGGCTGCTACCAACAACACCGACTTGTTTGCCGGCATAAGTGCACCGGCATCGAACGCATCCGACACGCCCAAGCCAGCAGTCGCGCCGGCAGGCTTTGACACCTTTGGCACGCCGGCTGCAACCAACAACACCGACTTGTTTGCCGGCATGAGTGCACCGGCATCGAACGCATCCGACACGCCCAAGCCAGCAGTCGCGCCGGCAGGCTTTGACGTCTTCGGCGCGCCATCGACAGCCGGCGCCGGTATCGTTGAAGGGGCCGAATCACCGGCGATTGCGACGCCCGAGACACCGACTCCTACCGCAAGCAGCGCCAAGTCCGCGCCGTTTGACCTTGCATCTGCATTTGGTTCCGGCGGGGCGGCAACGCCGGCGTCGACCATGTCAGACGCATCGTCCAACCCGTTTGGCAACGACTCGGCTGCATCGCTTTTTGCCGGAACCACCATGGCCGGGTGGGACTCGCTCTTTGCGCAGTACACCGACTCACCGGCGGGCATGTCGGCCAAGAGGGCGGTGGCGGTGTTCAAAAAGTCGAACTTGCCCAAGTCCGTCCTCCGTCAGGTGTGGGACCTGGCCGCCGAAGGCTCGGCGACCCTCACTCGATCGGCGTTCATCACCGGAGCCAAGCTTGTGGCGCTGGTTCAGCAGCACGGCCCACCGGCTTCGCTGGAGCGGCTTGAGACGCTCTCCAGCACGCTGGAGTGGCCGTCGTTTGACTCGAGCTTCGAGTATCACGACGACGCCGGGTCGAGCTCGGGCACGCGGTCGCGGGCCTCGTCGTCGGCAACCGCGCCCGCCGGAGGCGGGACGTCGTCGCGTGCTGCGCGGATCCAGCAACTCCCGGCTGACTTTGAGTGCTGGCGGGCGGTGATAGCCAAGGACGTTACCCGCAAGGGCAACATCTTTGTCAAGCACACCGAGTACACGGTCCAGGTCACCGCTGGCTCGGAGCTGTCTGTGGTGAAGCGGCGGTACTCGGACTTTCAGTGGCTCGCCGACGTCCTCTCCGAGGTCTATCCGTTCCGGCTCGTCCCGGCACTCCCGCCCAAGAAGCCAGTCAAGAAGCTGACCGACGAGGACTTTGCCGAGTTCCGCCGCCTCGGCCTCAATGAGTTTGTCAACAACGTGCTCTCGCGGCCGGTCTTCTACCAAAAGCCCGAAATCCTTGTCGCCTTTTTCCAGGAGGAGGGCAAGGGCTTTGAGCGCGCCAAGAAGGAGCTGCGCAAGGCACAGCCCGAGACCGAGCTCGAATTTCACGTCCATTCCCAGGATGCCGGCGAGCTCCTCCGCGCCGGCATCGACGCCTACCTCGAAGCTGTCCACGCCGAAGTCAAGTCGACAGCGCTTGCCGTCAGCGAGATCGCTGACTTTTGCATGGACGCCGCCGTCGCCCACTCGGCCTACACCGAGGCCATCTCAGGGCTCGGCACCGCTATGACCCGCCGCGCAGGCGACGAGTCCGGCATCGCGTCGTGGTCTTCGACCGACTCCTCGTTTGCCATCCAGGCCGAGGACATGGTCAAGCTCGGCGAGGGCATGGTCGGCGTCGCCGACAAGGTCCTCTCCTCCACCTCGAGCAAGCTTGTATCGCGTGTTCTCATCCGCGTCTGGATGCACGCCCGGCGCGCCGAGGCCTTCTCCGCCCTCTTTGACACCGCCGCCAAGGAGTCCAAGTCACTCGCTTCGCAAGAGAAGAAGCTCCGCTCGACCGAGGCCAAGGTCCAGAAGCTCCGCCGCGGCGGCAAGACTGATGGTGTCGATCGCGCCGAGGAGGCCCGCGTCGCGGAGAACCGCGCCGTGGCCCAGGCACGCCGTTCCTTTGCCTTTGTCAACTATTGCCTCGACAAGGAGGCCGAGTACTTTCGCTCCAAGCAGGTCAACGAGATCTCGTCGTTCATCGACAAGTTTGTCCTTATCAACCGCGAGCACTCGGCCGCCATGCTCAATGCCTGGAACGCCATGCTGTAGACCTGGGACACGTCTCAAGCCCTTTAAACCGCTGCGAGCACCACCACACGCTCCCCCTCCGCGAGTGGCACGCAGGATGCGGCACGGCAATTTTGGCCACGCCGCTGGACAAAGCTAGTTGTCTCTCGTCCAGACTTGTGGTTTGCCAGCGCGGCTACACGGCATTGGAGGAGGCGGAAGAGCGGGGCCAAGAAGGTAGAGGAGGCCCCCAGCTGAGAGGCCATAGCAGACGCAGGTAGAATGGAGAGCACCATGCTCACCACGACCCAAGTGGAACCGTTCGGGGCGCAGACAGAGAACGACTTGGCCATGGTCGAGAACCAACGACGGTCAGAGGTGCCGAGCAGGCGGCGGCGCCGGCGAGTGGCCGTCGCTGCCATCTCGGGCATGCTTGTTTTCCAGTCTGCAGCGCAAATGGGCCTTCAAGTTGTCATGGTCATCTACCTCCGAGATCATGTGGGCATGGTCGAGTGGAGAGCCTCGCTCATTGCCTCGTTGTTTATCGTTGCATACTCGCTCACTGGCGTTGTCGGCGCGTACGTTGCCGACTCGATCCTGGGCAGCTATCGCTTGCAGCGCATCGCTGCGTCGACCTGGGTCATTGGTGCTGTGCTCATGGCTATCTCGGCCTTTAACGCCGCCGCACCATGGGCGCTTTGGCGGTATTTGTTCTCCTCACTCTCGATGGCACTCATTGCCATCGGCTACGGCGCCATCAACCCGGTCCAGTCGGTCTTTCTCGCCGACCAGTTTGACGCCGTCGAGACGGCCGAGCTTGAGGCCTCATTCTCCATGTTCTACGCGTGGTGCAACGTCGGCGCACTGGTGGGAGATGTTGGTGCGCCGATCTTGCGGGCGTACGTCTCGCTGCAGGCAGCCATGCTCGCCTTGCTCGGATGCGCGGTCTTGGGCTGGCTTGCGCTCTTGGCCGGCTCGCGGTACTACGTCAAGCTTGAGCCGGAGCGCAAGCCAAGGAGATTGGTGCAGCAAAGCATGCAGCAGCCGCTGTGGGAGAAGCTGCTCTCGCTGTGGAAGCAAGCGCGCGAGATGGCGATTGTCCTGCGCCCGGTCGTGCTCTGCTTCTGGTCACTGCCCATCTTCTACACGGCGCTCTTTGCCATTTACTCGGTGTGGGTGTACCAGTCTGAGGACATGGACCGCCATGTTGGCTCGTTTGAAATTCCAGCCGACGCCATGTTTGCGTTTGAAGACATTTGCTGCATCCTTGGTGCGGTTGTCATCGAGTACCTTGTGGCGCCGGGCTACCAGCGGGTCTTTGGCGTGCCGTTCCGCTCGATTCCGCGGATGAAGTTTGGCCTCTGCTGCGGCGTGCTGGCATACGTCGGCTCCGCGCTTGTCCAGCGCGAGATCGATGCAAAGGGCAAGGGCGTGGTCCCAGTCTACTGGCAATTGCCACAGTACATGGCCATCGCCATCGGCGAGGTCTTTATCGGCGTCTCGGGCCTCGAGTTTGCGTATGCGCGCTCGCCGCCGGCGCTGCGCAACCAGGTGACGGCGATGTGGTCGATTGTGCAAGCGGTCGGCTCGCTCATTGCGGCCGGCCTGTTTGGCAATCCTGCGTCGGCGAGTGCCATGTACATCGCTTACTTTGTCATGGCTGGCCTCTGCTTTGTCACGCTGGTGGCCTTCTCCATCTCAGTCCGCAACATCCCAGCGGTGGCGCCAAACGTGCTGCTGCGGGTCGGTGACTACGGTTCGTCGACCACCGACGAGGACGACGACGTCGGCGAATTTGTGCCAATGGACGAACCCGATGGCCGCGACTGCAGCTCAGTGCTGGTGGCGCGCTCAACGCGCTCGCTGCGCGCGAATGCTCCGGCCAATGCCGCGGAAGCCACGCCGCTTTTGGGCAGCGGGTAAGCAATGTGGCGACTCCAAAGGCGGAGTGCACTACGTGATTGTAGCCGCGAGAGCAGCACCGGCGCGGTCTGCGGCCGAGTGCATGCTGGCGGCTGCGGCCTCAATGTTGCGAATGGCAGTGTCGAGGAGGACTAGATCGTGATGGCGGACTAGCCGCTGGGTATGTGCGAGCACGTTGCGCAGTAGAATGGCGTATTTTTCGAGCCGGTACATCGGCTTGTTCAGCAGCGGCGAGAGGCCGACAAGGCCGTCGGTCAGCTCACGGGTTTGGAGGAACGAAGCGAATGCTGGGGCTCTTGCCTGGGCGCGTGAGAGCCGCGAGACGCAGATCGCCACGTTTTTCCCGTAGGCCTTGAACAGCGACTTTCCGTCGTGTGCAAGGGCAACAAAGGCGTCACCGAGCGTGGTGTACGCGTTCCACGCGGCAGCCTTGGACGTTAGCTGAGTGAGCAAGGTGCGGTGGAGGACAAGGAGCTGTGACGAGCCGGTGCCAGTGACGGCATCGATCTCGTCGGCCGAAAACAGAATCGGCTCGTCCGAGCCGAGCGCAGCAAGGAGCGGAGCTCGGTAGCCAGTCACAAGCGTGTCGAGGTCGGCGACGTACGAGGCCTCACTCTCGATGAGAATGCCAAGGAGCTCGCGGCGGGCGCGGATGGCGGCAAGGCGGGCGCGGGCACCAAGGCCGCGAGCCCAGGCTTGGATGGTGGTGGCGGCGGCATGGCGGGCGGCGAGCTCGAGCTCGAGCCATGCCTCGTCGACCTGTCCGCCGACAGCGCGGAGAGCAGCAATCCACTCGGTCCGCTCGACAGCCGAGGCGGCGTAGAGATCAACAGCATGAACGCCGTTGACGTCGAGCCGCCATGGGAAGCCGTGGGCGGCCTCGGCGCCGTCGCGGGCAGCGGGCACAAAGTCCACAAACGCGTCGTGGAGATTGAGGACCCGCTCCGGCTCTGGCTCGGCCCGCGAGGCGTATAGCGCGAGCGTGCTACCCGAGAGGACAACGTACATCGAGCCTGCGGTGGTGGGCGGGGCGTTGGGAAGAGCGACATAGAGAAAGCCGGCCTTGAACGAGCGCCACGGCGCTGTGCTCACCGAGGCCTCGGACGAGCGTTCCGAGTGCGTCCGCGGGTGGGAGCCTACAAACGCCGCCATCGAATCCTCGTCGTAAAAGTACTCGTCGCGCTCGAGCGGAAGTCCACGGGCGAGCTGCAGCATCTGCTCATCCGAGTAGAGCGCAAACGGGCGGCCGTTGAAGGGGATAGAAAAGTAGCGCTTGTGCGGGGCCACAAACTGACGAGCAACCTCGGCGTGGATGCGCGAGGTGAGAAACTCGGCAAGAAGCGGAATGTTCTTGACCTGCTCTTTCTTGCCGATGCGCGAGACAATGCGGACGGCAAGGTGCGGCGGGCGGACAAAGGCGAGGGTCGAGAGCCGGTTGAGCGAGCCAGGGAGCACAATCTCGATCTCTCCAGTCACTTGTGAAACATCGACGGTAACAACGACTGGAATGGCGCCAAAGATGGTGGTCGAGATGGTCATGGTGGTGGAGGCTGGGAGGTGGATGTGCGCCCGGAGCGTGAGCTCGTCACGAGCGTCGTCAAACGGGTAGGCTTTGACCGACTCGACAACAGGCGGATCGCTCCCGAGCTCAAAGTGCGAGACGACAAAGGTCGAGACAAAGTTGGGCTTCTCAATGGCATTGAGAAGGTGCGCAAACTTGAGACGCATGTAGTTCTCGTACTGCGCGATTCGCCGGGAGATAACCAGGTCGTGGTAGAAGAGTGGAAGAAGGGTGTTGAGCCACTCGGCCGACTCCCACACCGGTGCACCAAACGGAACCTGCGGCAGGCCCGCGTCGTTGTCGGCAGTGGCGGCGGCAGCAGCGGCAGACGACGACGACGCCCGCGTGCGCGCTCCGCCAGCCCAGTCCGAGTCGAGGGTTGAGTAGTCGTCAGCGTGTGCAAGGTCCGGGATCGTCGAGGAAGCCGAGTCAAGGCCGAGCGGGCGGGAGGTGGCCTTGGGTGTTGACGGCGCGGTTGCGGGCCTTGAAAAAGCAGCCATGCCGTCGTCCGAGTCCGAGTCGGTGGCCAAGGCACGCGCGCCCGAGATGGCGCGGGTGAGGGCGACGATCCAGGCTGCGCGGTCGTCGGCGTCGGCGCACCTAAAGTACTCGACGTGTGCTTCGTCGGTACGAGGGCCAGAGGTATGTGTGGGGAGCGCAAGGATAAAGGTGTGGTTCGACGGGTCGCGGTTCGCGTCCTCCTTGAGCACAGCCTCGCGGAGCTGGACCTCGTAGCGGAGCTCAGTGCCCTTCTTGTTGTAGACCTTGAGCAGGCCATCGACAACAACTAGGAAGCGATGCTTCCACGTCCGGAACCGACCGCCGATCATGTCGACCAAGCCTTCGCGGATGATGATGTCTGCCTTGGCGACGCGGGCGTCCGGGTTGTGCTCTGCCGCGCGAAAGGCTTCCGATGCATTGCGGGCACGGGCACGCACCGTCGCATCGCCACGAGTGGGCGCCGCGCCGTGCTTTCTTCTCCTGCGGAGGACAGTGAGGTATGCACCGAGATCAGTGAGGTTGTGGACGAGCGCGCCGAGGCCAGCCACGGACGCCGCATCTGCGTCGATGACTTCCACGCCAGCGCCATGAAGCATCTCTGCATCAGCATCCGAAAGCGGAGCATGGCCAGCATACGCTGCATCGGCATCCGTCAGGCGAACATAGCTCGCACCAGGAGCCGTGGTGGAGACTCCATCAGCAAAGACGATGGCCTTGGACGAGGCAAAGAGGAGAAAGTAGGCGATGCCTGCCGTAGCCAGCAGAGCACCCGAGACAATGCCGAAGAGAAAGACGCCAGACCATGCAAGGACGCCTCCCACCGCACCCAGCGGTGTGTGGAGTACCGCTAACAGGGTCTCCATAAGTGAGGTCGACACTGTCGAGGGGAGTCGGGTGCGGTACGTGGAGGCAGCGTCACGGCGTGTGGCGGCGTGTCTCGCGGCGTGTAGGTGGTGTGTGACTCGCGGCGAGCGGGTTGAGGGAGGGGCACGGCATGCATGGTGCAGTGGGATGGGGAAGGCGAGGAATGTGGGCTGCGACAAAGACCATGTTCAGGAGCTGTGGAGGCGGCGAGATATAAAGGTTTTAGCGCAGGGATGGTAAGATGCATGGGCTCCAGCCCCTGGCTCGCTGATCCAGGGCATGTGTGGTCGGTTGGCTTGGTCGGATCGAGTCGCCCAAACGTCACACTTTGGATTGTACTGGACTGGGAGAATGAGTGGGATGGGAATAGATCGCACCGGACAGAAGGACACTTGACTCATTGCGACTCAAAAGCGCAACATGGACTTTGTTATGTCAATGGTGGTCGACTCGGATGGTGATGCCTCTGGCGCGCCTGGATCCATCTCAGAGACGGAGTCGGCCGATTCATTCGTAGTGAGCGATTTCGATGATGGGAGTGGTGACGGTCACTATTTCGGCAGCATGCCCATCTATGGGGCAAGGCATGGCTCGCGCCGGTGGGACCCAGATGCGCCTGACGGTGTGGAACCGTGCCAGCGCGCGGCACGGCGACCGTCTGTGGCGCGATCGGATGCGGCGGATGGGCCGGCGCACAGTGGAAGCCGCGAGCTGCTCCTACCGTGGCATATCCCTGCGTATCCCTCGTAACACACACCTCCTGCGAACGATACTGTCCCGCTGCCGCTTCGGATGTCGGTGAGCCCGAGTTCGAGCCCGCGGGCAAACCACATCATGGACATGATCTGGAACCCCTGACGATCGAGGCCCTTATCAACCTCACCGTGCCCACCTACACGTGATAAAGCTGTTCCCTTGCGACCGCAGCTGTAAGCTTCTTGCTGGTAGTGGTGCAGGCTGAAGACGACAGAGGGGCAGACTGAGCACGCAGCTCGCACCTGTGCGCGGATGTGGGTACGGACTCAGCAGCACAGCGTCGTCACCTGCACCGCGGCCAAGGTGTGGGCAGAGGGGCAGTGGGGATGGTGAGTGGCAATGATGATGATGGTGGTGGCAATGGTGGTGGGTATGATGGGGGCGGTGGCGGTGGTGGCGGTGGTGGTGGTGGTGGTGGTGGCCAGGAACAGTGCGACATGGCTCCGTAGCGAACAATGGTCAGTGTTCGGAGGTGGGTGAGGGCACACTCAACGCGGGATCAGAGACAGGTTCTGGGGAGGAGATAGCAACAGAGTGTGCTTGGTGATAGTAGTAGCGGTACTGGTACTAGCTCGTCCGTGGTGTACTCTGTCATGATTAAGAGCATCAAGAGGATAGGCAAGGCCAAGCTGAGGTTCCGCTTTGACGTCGTCGTCCACTCGGCCAGTCTGGTGCCGAAGACCAAGTGGTATGGCCATGGGTGGTGAGGTGGGGTTGTGAGCGGAAGAGGGGGGGATGGAAGGTACTTATACACTACTTTGGGTGATTGCGTCTGTGTATGTATGGCCTGGCCTGTCTGTACCTGGTGGTTGTGCGGCTACGTGTGTTGTGTGTGTATGGCGGGGGCATGAACGGCTGGTCTGGCTTCGCCTTGCCACACAGGCGCCCAGTGCCACTGGCTGTGACATGGCGCCGCGGACCGCGGACGGCATCGACGCCTGCTGCGCCGTTTGTGGCAAACTCGGGCATTGTCGAGTGGCAGACCTCGCTGTGCATGCTGGCCACGCTGTACAAGTCGCCCGAGGCGCCGGTCGCGGACGCCAAGCTCTACCGCCTCAGTCTGCTCGCCGTCGATGCCTCGGCTGGCGCGGGGAAGAAGCCGCGGACGAAGACGTTGGCCACCACAAGCGTCGACTTTGGCGAGTACGCCACTGTGACCGCCAAGCCGGTGACCAAGACGCTTGCGCTCAAGATCAAGTCCAAGAAGCTGGCGTCGGCTTCGCTCACCGTCACTATCACCTCGGTCTGCCTCGACGACGCTGGAAGCGGGCCGGCTGCTCATGGAGCAGGATCCGACTCGGAGTCGGACTCGGACTCGATGTCCATGTCCGCGGTCTCAGAGATTTCCGGCTGCTCATCGGACGACGAGGAGGACAGCGCTCCTCCTCCTGCGCTGTCGTTCTCGGCAGCAGCAACGCCGCCGCCGCCCAGCACAACCAGCCAGCCGCTAGCACACCCAACCAGTTTGCGGGCGTCGCCGCCGCGGCAGCGGCGGTCGCCGTCGCTCCGCGGCTCGCGCCAGACTGATGCGTCGGTAGCATCGCCTGCTGAGGCGACAGCTGCACCGGTCTCGGTCCCGGTCGGCCCCGGCGCTGTGCCGGGCGGCGCTGGTGGCGCGTCTGAGGTTCGCTACTTGCAGAAGATGCTGCAGCAGCAGCTGACCGACGCGTGGAAAGAGAAGCAGCGGCAGGAGGAGACCATCGAAGAGCTGCAAATGGAGGTAGCCGAAAAGGCGACCATCATCCTGCAATACAAGAGCCAGCTCGACGAGGCCGACGACCGCATCGCCGAGCTCGAGGCCGAGTCGCGGCTGAACGCGTCGTTGGAGGCCGCAAGCGGCTCAGGAGCGAGCAGCAGCGGCGCAACCCGCGACGAGCTGCTCGCGTTGCTGGAGGACTCGACCGCCAAGGTCGCCGCGCTCAAGGCCAAGAACAAGGCGCGCAAAATCGAGATCACGTCACTGGAGAGCCGGCTAGTGGCGGCCGAGGCGGCGCTCGAGCGCGCGTCCACAGCCGCCGCCGCACCGGCCACGCCGCCGCCGGCTCGCGAGCGCGCGCTGTCTGCGTACTCCCTTGCTGCGCTCTCGCCCGACGGAGCGACGCTGCGGACGCCCGGCGGGCGCACGCTCTCGGTCGGCCTGCAGGACGAGGTGCCCGGCTACGGGCGAGTCATCAAGCTCGACGTCGAGGGCCGCCGAGTGGTGACCGCGTCCGGGCGCGCCATCTTGGCCACTGACGGCAGCGAGCTCCCGACGGCTGCTGCAGCAGCGGCGGCAACGCCATCGCCGAGCCTCCGGACTCCGGGAACTCTCGCCGAGCGCCGCGAGCTCCGCCAGCTCACCGACGACTACAACGAGATGTGCGAGAGGCTCACCGAGAGCCAACGTCGCAACGAGCTCCTTGCAGACGAGGTCGGCGCGCTTCAGCGGCTGGTCGATCTGTATGCACCAGACGATGTCCGCGCACCCAAGACTGTTGCGCCGGGCACCGAGTGCGATGACCTCAGCCTCTCCGAGGACGGCGTTCGCATCCGCGCACTCGAAACCATGCTCGAGCTGGCCGTCTCGGACGCCGAGCTCGCCAAGCATGAGCGCGAGCTACTCGAGACCGAGTTTGTTTCTACCAAGCTCAAGCTGGCACAGACCGAGTTTGAAAAAGAGGCTGCCCAGAAGGATGTTCGCAGCCTCGAGCGCAAGTACGCCAAGTCGCGTGAGGTCCAGCGCGCGCTGTCCGAGAAGATGACCCGGATGGAGGTCGAGCTCGCCACAAGCCAGGCAACTCGCAAGGGCAAGGGCAAGACGAGGGGCAAGTAAACGGCAGCAGGTAGCGGGCGGCAGGCGCAGTGTGTGTTACGGATGGGGGACCTAACGGCGCCAGAGAAGGAGCGCACCGGCAATGATGGCCACCACGGCGACACCGCCGGCGGCCACGTACAGCACGGTTGACGAGTCAGCCGAGGCAACGACGTCCGATGCGGTGGCCAGCGACGACGCGGCAGCGTCTTGCAGCGCCTCGCCGGCGTTCTCGGCGGCATCGGCGGCCGATGCGGCGGCGGCCGACGCCGATTCCTTGGCAGCCGAGGCGGCGGCCGACGCCGATTCCTTGGCAGCCGAGGCGGCGGCCGACGCCGATTCCTTGGCAGCCGAGGCGGCGGCCGACGCCGACTCGATGACATCCTCAGCAACGTCCACAGCCGCCTTGCGGGCCTCGTCGGCCTTCTCTGCCACAGCCTCTGCCGCGGCTGAGGAGCGAGTGGCCAGATCTTCTGCCGCAGCCTCGACCGCAGCCTCGACAGCTGCCACGGCCTCTGCTGCCGGCGAGGGAGCAGGCGAGGAGGACTGCGGGGGGAGAGGGTCAGATTGAGGACAGAGTCCGAGGTGACACCCAGATCAGTCAGAGCCACAGGACCCATGCCGAGCAGGTTGGTGCCAGGACCCGATCCAGGAGGAGAGAGAATGGCCGTGTCCGGCAGGTCGCGGTCGAGGGACGAGGCAATGGCCACACGGAGCTCGTCAACAGTGGCATCAGGCGCAACAGCCACAATGAAGAAGCCCTCGGACCAATTGATACGCAACTGCATTCCTTGGGGCATGCACGTGCAGGAGGGAGAGTCAGGTGTGGAGATGGGGGTGGGGGAGAGGGGTGGGGGGGGGGGGGGGAGGGGAGGGGGGGGGTGACGCGTTGGTCGGCCGGCGGTTGGTTGGTTGGTCAACAACTGGCCAGAGACACCGATCGGCGGGGCGTGGTTGCCTGTGGTTGCGAGTGGCAGCTGGGGCCATGTGGGGAGACCATGGTTGCTAAGAGCCATCAACACGCTGGTGGTTACGGCTTTATCACAGCTCGCGGTCGCGGTGGCGTCGGCGGGCCGTGCAGATCGGCGCAGCGGGAAGCAAAGGCCGAGACCATGGTCTCAACTACTTGCGAGAAGAAGAGGTCGGCGGCGCGGCGGTGGAGCGCAGATTGAAAGTCAAAAGAGAGCGAAAAGGTGACGAGGGTGGTGTTGGGCGCATCGCCGTCGGCAAAGCCCCACTCGGTGACAAGATGGTTGAAGAGGAGGCCGCGCTGAGCACGGACCACGATGGCGTTCGGCCGATCGAGGACAATGTGCGAGACGTACGACTCGGAGAAGCCCGGGAAGCCGATGACTAGCTCGGCGTCCACAAGCTCTGCGCCCTGCGGCGTCTCCTTGCTGCGCGCCTGGGTCGATGGCAGCGTCCGCGACGACCTGCACCACGGAATGAACTCCTTGTACCGATCAACATCCGCCACCACGTCAAAGACCAGCTCGCGTGAGTACGGCACCACAGTGGTCTCCGAGTGGTGCTTGTCGCCGCGCGGGCCGTCTGATTGCGGTTGGCTGCCGCCGCCACGGAGATATTCGAGAAACGTCCGCACCGATCCGATCGATGCGCCCAGCGAGGTCGATGTCATTGCTCCGCCACATGCTGGTGTCTCTCGCCTGCCAGCCAACGTCACCGCAGCTGCACTGCGTCTGCTCCTGTTCTTGCCTCTGCTGCTGCCAGCCGACGTCGCCTCGGTGAGTGTGGCCGAGACAGCGGCGACTCGGCACCGGTGGACGGCGAGGCGGGAGAAGAGCATGGTGTGGTCGGAAAAGAGGTGCCAGGGAGGCAGTGGTGGGTGAGGGGATGGAAGCGGGAGTGGGAGGGGAGGGGGGGGGGGGGGGCGGAGGAGGGTGAGGTGGGATAAAAGCGGTCACCGTGTGCCTGCGGTGGCCGACGCGTCGTGGCTGCTGCGGATCAGAACGGATCATGGCTGACAGCGGGTGCCGGTCCTCTCTCTGCGCTAGCGAGGTGGTGATACCAACTGAGAACATGGACACTTTCCTTGTATTCTGCGGCAAAAAGGCCAAGCGACAGTCTCTACTACTCCTCGGTGGCGGTGGAAAAGTGCGGGAGCTCGGAGCGAATGGTCTCCCACGACTTGAGGCCCATGACGAGCGAGCCGACGGCGGCGACGACGTCGGCAACCGAGGCGCGGACCTGAGTCATCGAGTCGCGCTCGCGGAGGGTGACGGTGTTGTCGTCGACGGTCTGGAAGTCGACGGTGATGGCGAGCGGAATGCCGACCTCGTCAGAGCGGGCGTAGCGGCGGCCGATCTGGGCACCCGAGGCGTCGACCTTGAAGGTAATGCGGGCCTTCTCGAGGAGGACGCGGATGTCAGCGAGAGCCGGGTCAAAGGCGGCGTTGGCCGAGAGCGGGAGGAGGGCGACCTTGATAGGTGCGATGCCGATGGGGAAGCCGAGGACGGCGCGGGCCTCGTCGTCGGGGCGGGTGTAGAAGGTATGCTCGAGGACCGAGTAGAGGATGCGGCCGATGCCGAACGAGGGCTCAATGACCGCCGGGGTGTAAGACTCGCCCGAGACGCGCTTGGTGACGGTGGCGATGGTGGCCATGTCGGCGGTGAGCTCGAGGTCGCCGACAGGCGAGGCGATGGTGACGGCGCCGGCGGCCGTGAGCTCGTTGGCGAGCGCAAGCTTGGCATCGTCGTCGAGGCCGGCGAGGTGGGCAAAGATGTGCTTGGCGTTGCCGCGGTGGGTCTTGCCGATGAGCTTCTTGTTGAGATCGATCTCGACCACCTCGACGTCGCGCGGCTCGTCAAAGCGCTCGTAGGCGACCAGCTTCGAGTTGGTGGCCTTGGCGTGCTCGGTCAGGTCGTGGCACGAGCGGTCGGCGTGGCCGGCAACCTCGACCCAGCCGTACGAGGTGTTGATCTCGGCGTCCCAGCAGTCCGAGGCGTAGTGCGCCATCTCGGTCGGCATGTGCTGCCGGAAGCGGAGGTGCTCGGGCACAATGCCGATCGAGTGCATGAAGAGCATGGTGCGCGCGAGGTAGTACGCCAGCGTCTGGTTGTCGATGACGCCCTCGGCAACAGCGGCGCCAAAGGTGGTCCGCACAATCTCGCGCGAGCCCAGCTGGTTCTCCCACGGGAAGAGGTCGACCTCGAGGTCGGCGACCTCGGCAAACCGCGGGTGGTCCTTGCGCTTGGGGTGAACAAAGTGCTCAATCTCGGCCTGCTGGAACTCGCGGACGCGGAGGAGCGCATTGCGCGGCGCAATTTCGTTACGGTACGAGTAGCCGATCTGCGCCGCCGCAAACGGCATCCGCGATGCGTTGTAGTCGAGAAGGCGCGTAAAGTTGACAAAGATGCCCTGCGCAGTCTCCGGCCGGAGGAAGCCCGGCGTGTTGCCCGACGGGCCAATCGACGTCGCAAACATGAGGTTGAACGGCACAGGCTCGGTGAGCGCGTTGCCGGTCTCGGGCGACTTGACGTCGTAGAAAGCCAGCCGCTCGCCGAGCTCGGCAAGCGTGAACGACTCGACGTTGTCGAGGTCGTTCTTGAGCGACTTGCGCGTCTCGGCGTCCTTGGTCGCCTCGAGCTTCTTCTCCAGGAAGTCCTCGAGCAGGTGGTCCGCGCGGAACGCCTCGCCGTTCTCCACATCCGTCACCATGTAGTCGACAAACCGGTCGACGTGGCCAGACGTCTTGAGCACGTCGTACGGCGTGAGGATCGAGCACTCGAGCTCGAGCATCGACTCGCGATGAACAAAGTGCGACCGCCACGTGTCCACGATGTTGTTCTTGAGCGCGCAGCCCGGCGGGCCGAGATCAAACAGGCCGGCAACACCTAAGGTCACAACCAAGCGTACCCGCGGGGTGAGTGAGGCTCTGCCCATGCCCATCATCGAATCAAGCGACAACACCTCCGATGCCCGGCGTGCAGAGCACAAGCGATTCGACTGCGGTGCAATGTATACCGCCGCCTCATCGGTGTGGGCTTTGATGTGACGACGGAGCATTGAACGTGCTTGGGGGCTTCGATGTGGCGTCGATGGCGAGGGCGAGGGCGTCGCACCTTTGCCCGCTGCCATCCACACTTAAAAAATGGACAGAGACCAAGAGCGGCACAGCGGGGAAGGAGAGGGAGGAAGAGGGGGGGGGAGGAGGAGGAGGAGGGAAGGAAGGCATGACACGGGCTTATACCATGGTGTGGGAAGAGGGTGGGAAGGGGTTGGAGAAGGGGAGCTGTAATGTGGAGCGGCATGACGTACCGCCGTAGATCTCGAAGCCGTTGATGAAGAAGAACCGGCGCTTGGCCACCGACTCGAGGGCCTCACGGTTGACGGGGAACTTGACACGGTCCTCGACGTTCTTGAGGAAGGCATCACGACGCTTCTTAAGATCCTTAAGTGCGGCAATGATGGGGATGTACTCATCCTTGCATGCATTGGCTGCCTTGAGTGCCTTGACCTTGGCAATCTCAAGGTTGAGCAGCTCCTGCACAGACTCGAGCGTCTCTGCGGACATGAGAGAGTGTAAAGAGAGAGGGGTGGTAGGGACGACGGATCGGGTTGGGGAAGAGGGACAGCTGCGATGGGGGATGGCGATCATCGGATGGGCAGTGATGAGGGGGGAGGGGGAGGTGGGGGGGAGGGGAGGGAGGGGTAGGGGGGAGGGGGGAGGGTGAGGACGAGGGAGGGGGAGCTTGTCAGTGTGGGGAAGGGAGGGCTCAAAGCCAGCGGGATCAAGGCGGCTGGCTGGTCTGGCCTGTGGGGGCTGGTGGCAGTGGTTGTGCACACTTGCCTCCAACACAGTCCAACATGGTCGAGTTGCTTGGGAAGGACCAGCTGCCGCTGCTGCGAACAGCTATCCTCGCAGGCATTTGCGTGCTGGGTAGGTCCAGTGAGAGGGGGCGCAAGGGGGGAGGTGGA